GTTCAAGAGTGCAAATTGACAATTGAGTATTGATTCTAAGCAAACCGTGTCTCAATATCATGCTATTCTATCAAGTTGCTAATAATTTTAAAAAGTAGCGAATAGCGATTTTCTGTTCGAAAAGTAGTCAACTACTTGGCTACTTTTAGGAAAAATGTAGTTCGCTATAACTACAGCTACTGTTTTATAAAAGTAGTCAAAAACTACTGGCTACTTGAAAATTGTAGTTCGCTACAGTAGCGAACTACAATTACTTCGCTACTACCCACCCTTGTATTTCAAGCTCCCCCTGGAAATACGGCCAAAGCTCTGCTGGCTACTTTATGCCTTGTGGAAGCAAGTAAATTTCGTTAAATTGCATAATAATATATTTGGTACTAATCACAAGATCAATACTTGTTGACCACCAAGCGCTAAACGCATCACTTGACTGACACCCATCTACACACGTAAAAATCTCACAACTTGTCAACAAGATGTGTTCGCAACAGGCTTGTAGCAAGCTTGTCGACAAGTTGTAACAATCATGTTATTTCATCAACTTGCTACAAGGTTGTCACTCACAACTTGTTGACAAATTGTTGAATTGCAGGACGATAGCAAGTTGTTGGAACAACTTGCAACAAGTCTGTCGAACTCAACAACCTTGTAGCAAGTTGTCAACGAGCCGTGGACAACTTGTCAACAAGCTGGGAGCAAGCAGTGCGAACACATCCTGTTGACAAGTTGTTGGAAAAGCATTACTACAAGTCTGCTGCAGGTTTGTTGCAACTTGTGCGTTTTTACGTGTGTACAGGAGAATAGGGCTAAAGAGAGGCTTGTGATTGTGATGAAGATCAAAGAGAAACATATGCGTGCACGAAACATCAAACATGGGGATATAACCTTCATGTGCGCCTGATACACGAGTAAACATCTCACATCTTGTAGCAAATCTGCCAACAAGCCGTCAACAAGTTGTGTTCGCACTGCTTGTCCAAAGTTGTCGACAAGTTTGAAACAAGCTGTTAACAATTTGTAACAACCTCGTTGTTATTATCAGGCTTGTTTACAAGGTTGTTTCAACAAGTCCGATACAGTCGTGATATAACAATATTGTTACAACCTTGTGTCGTCAACCTTGTAACATTCTTGTTCATCATGACTGTACAGACTTGTTAGAACAACCTTGTGACAAGTCTGATAATGCCATCAAGCTTGTTAACAGCTTGTTCCAAACTTGTTACAACAACTGGGAACAAGCAGTGCGAAGACAACTTGTTGACAGCTTGTGAACAGATTTGTAACAACTTAATTGTTTGCAGACTTGCGTTTTTACATGTTTATGCTAAAACAGGCAAACTGATGAAAATATGGCCATTGGGGCGAAAGTGAAATAAACAGCAAAGCTCCATTAGCTTACAGACCTGGAAAAAGGCGGAATGTCGAAATCCTAAGGAACGTACATTTGCCAAGATTGAGGAACAATTTCAATTCCAACTTACACTACACAACTTTTGCCTAAAACTGTCGCATGCAACCTGCTTACAACTTGAGTTGTACTGTGCCAATCAAGCACACAACTTACATACGTTGTCGTAGACGAGCTGTGTGCTTGATTTACACAGTACAACTCAAGTTGTGAACAGGTTGCATGCGACAGTTTTAGCCAAACGTTGTGTAGTGCAAATCATCCTCTATCTGTCATTTGAGACATGTAACAAAAATACAGTCAAGCATACTTTGTTGTTAATGGCGTCATGACTTATGTACGGTCAAATTTCACAGTTTTCAGGTCTGTTTGCTTGCAGAATCGTCGTGCAACTGGTTATATATGATCGTAGGCTTCTCTGGGTTGGCAAAGTAGTGATTTTTAGGAATTGAGATATTTTTAGCTTGTAATGTTAATGATTAGGTTATCTAAGCTAGAGGTAGTGAAATTCTAAAATACAGGTGAATATATGTTAGTCCTGTTAATATTGAAATTGTCCAACTTGTAACTGTTGCAAATATGACTATTATTTTATTCATAAAGATAGGGTACAGTCTGGTCTGCGCATGCGCACATAGGAGTCTCCTGCCTTGATATAAACACTTTAATTAAGTTTTTAGCTCTTTTTATTTCATTTTATGTTCCTGCAAAGCATGATTGTTGTCCCTTGATCATTTACTATACTGTAGAAGCATGAAAATATAAATAGTTGTCGAATAATATTTTGAATACTGAAATGTAAACAAAGGCTTTGTTTACATACGGACTGTACCCTACTTTTAACAATGCATACGCCCGTATTCTAAAAGCTCACTCACACTCAATGAGTGGAGGTTCAATCAGCGCTTTTCTTGAGTGTCAATGCTGTTTTTGAATAGCTGGAGGGTTAGTGTCGTACATTACTATGTGACTTCTCACCCTCCGGCTATTCAAAAACAGCATTGACACTCAAGAAAAGCTCAGATTGAACCTCCACTCATTGAGTGTGAGTGTGAGTGAGCTTTTAGAATACGAGTTTTATTGAGTGTTTCAGAAAATTTTTTGAAATCTTTCGATTCCGTTGACACGGTACAGGACGAATTTAAAACCAGGCTGAAAATTGTTCGTTTCAGCCTACCGTTTACACGATCGAGAACCACGCGGAACCGAACGAATTTGCATGAGACCCCGTAAACAGGCGGAAAAGGACGAATTTCAGCCAGGTCCAAAATTTTTCCGGTACCGTGTAAACAGAGTCTTAGGCCCCAGTTACACTACACTGGATTCGTATCCAAGCGACATCAATTTTAGGTGTTTTTCAGTGCCGAACTCACTTTGAAACTGTAAAGTCGATGTCGCTCCGAATCCGGTATACTATCAGTTTGGTACACAATTTAGCCATAGACACTCGTGGCTAAAAGTATAGTGAAATGTGGTATACTTTTTAGCCACAGACCGCCGTGGCCACATTAGCCACACATTTAAAGCGCGAGCGTGAAAGCGAGCGAAAGGGAAGTCGGAGGGAAAGCAGGTTTAAAAGCGGCGAAAGAATAATGAAATTATCTTTATAATTAATAATGAATTAAACGAAATTATATTAAAGAAACGTCTGGGTACGAGGCAGTCTATTAGCCTTTCTCACGAAGGTCTAAATCCACCATTTTTGGGTATAACATTTAATGTGAACAACGTGAAAAATTTAAGCAATGTGAAAATAATTTCCTGGAAGGGAAGGGAAGGGAACTGTCTCGATGTCAAAAACCAAGTCAGTTGAATGAGGGGGGGGGGGGG